ATATAATTAAAAAATAGGAAATAGGGCCAGTAAGATGGCCAAGCAGGCAAAACCTCTTGTTGTACAAGCCTGAAAACTGGAGTTTAGATCCCTGGAACCCATGATAGGAGAGAATTATTTCCCCCAAAAGTTATCCTCCACCCCCACACACATGCCATGACACATGAGCCTCTTCCAATAATAACAATAATAATAAATTTAAAAAAAAAGAAGGGAGAGGGGTTCTCAACAGTTCTAAAGATGCACCTTCAAGATGAAGCAGCCGCCCAACCTGGATCACTCAAACCTGTCTCCCTAGCAACAAAGCTCTTCCTGCCCACCCACCCCTACCAACATGTTTACAAGCCCTGACTTGCATACCACAGGTTTAAGAGGAGGATAGTTGCAGATATAATGAGATTTAGCCTCAAAACGCCTGATGTTCTCATTAAAGGGAGCGATCTGACAGGCACCACTACTATCTAACCCACTCATTTGGTACTGAGACCCTAGTAAACTACCACTGCTTCCTCCCAAGTACGAGTAAGATCTACAGCGGAGCAAGGCAGTGCAAACTTGTAATCCCAGCAGCAGTTCATGGTCTTGGGGTGAGGGTGACAAGCTTTTCATTAACGTACTAAATATATATATAGAAAAGGACAAAGAGTAGCCAAATTCACATAAGCACCACCAACAAAACAAAGCATGGGCAGAACCCCTGGGGTTCCTCTCATGCTAATTCACATACCATAACCCATAACCCACCTTTCTCCTGACTTCAGAGATTACTTGGGCCACTTTTGAAATGTCACATCAAAGGAATCATATACTATTATACTTTCATGTTCATTCAACTTCTTACAGTTTTGTTTTGTTTTTTTTAAAACTATGTGTGTTCTATTTTAATTCAAATGGACAGTCAGGCTTCATTTCCCCTCATTTGGATTATTTCCAGTTTAATTCCATTTGCATCAAAATAACACATCTCAATTCTAAAATATAAGTAAAAGAACATTTTCACTGGGCAAGTTTTAGAAGGTACGACACAGATATATAGACACACACACACAAATGACAACATCTCTTAAGGAACTGGAACACACCTGGGAATGAAAAGCCATGGCACTGATCTGATGAAAGCCTAAGAACTAGGCCAAGGCTACAGATCTGAATAACATGGCAGGGGCAGGGTCACTAACAAGGACAGAAACTCCGAGACGAAGAACAAAGAGGAACAAAGTTCAGTGCTGGACAACGCACAAACTTAAATCTTAACAAATTCTAAGTGATACCTATTTGCTTCTAATGGGATAAGGAACAAAACAGCCTTTCCTCAAAATACCACTGAAGGGCTAATTCTTTTGGTTGGTTGGTTATTGTTGTTGTTGTGGGGTTTCATGGAGGGGGGAGGGAGGTGGTATTTTGTTTTGAGGCAGGGTCTGGGCCCCAAACTTAGATTTCTACCCGCCTCTGCCTGAGTACTGGGGCTAAAGGCATCGTCACTACCTCCAAGCTACAGAGCTCATTTTTAATAACACTAAAAGGAGATAACCAAATTCACGTTTTTCCACATAGTAGTCAATTTAAAGAGCTGTCCAAACCTACCAATCTCTTCAAGACTTCTCTTGTAGAATTCTCTAAAGGTCCTGTTTGAGAGTCAACTAAGGAGCCATGCACCATGCCTGTACTTCCAGTGCTTGGAAGTAAAGACGGGAGCATCAAGACGCATCAAGAACCAGTGTCCAGGAATGACTCAAAGCCTCGACTACATGAGACTGTCTTCAGAAATAAGAAAGGAAAAAAAGACACATGTGCACAGTAACACATGCCTTAGGGACCACTTGCTCAAGAGAATGAGGCAGGATAGTCACAAGTTCAAGTCTTGCTGAGAGGCTCAGTGAGACCCTGAAACTACAATTTTTAAAAAACAGCAGCTTGGTGGTAGAGAAAAGACCCTAAGTTCAGTCCCCACTACAAAGATATTAGAGAACAGAGATAAGGACAGTGACAGCAACAATGAGACATCAGGAAAGAAAGGCAGCGGTGGGGTTGGGGTGTGAAGTCCATCTGAGAATCTAATCATAGAAAATCTACTCTTGGCTTTTTATTTGAAATGAACCTGAAGAATGGGCAAGCCTCCATTTAGAAATTATTTGGGTAAGGCAGTCAAATCATTTAGATTGAAATATTAACTCCCCAAGCACTCAATGGAAACCACTGATCAAAGGCAAAGCACTTTACAAAAGTCATCCGCTCACTGTGCCCAGCAGAGCACAAACCACAGCTTCTCCCACAGTTCAAACACTCTATAGTCAGCTCTCGGCATCAACTGACTCTGCATGTGTGACTCCAACCACACATCAAAAATAACTAAAAGATGGCACAGCAGCACACACCTATAATCTCAGTGCTCAAGGCAGAGGCAGGCAGATCTCTCTTCGTTCAATGCTAGCCTGGCCTACAGATCCAGGACAGCCAGGACCACATAGAAAAACCCTGTCTCAGGGTGGAGGATGGGGTAGGGTATGGGGGAGGGAGGAAGGGAGAGAAGGGGAGGGGAAGGAGGGGGGAGGGGAAGGGAAGAATCCACCAGAGAAAACACACTGTGCCTGTGTCCTTACACACTGACCACACAGCCACAGCGTCCCACTGCACTAAAAGTCTTAAGTGACCTAGCAATAACTGTAGTGTGTGAGATAGCGTGCACAGGTCACATGCAATTCTATACATGTTTAGAATTATAAGAGACTGGAGGGGCTGGGGATACCTACAGCAGAACCCTTGCTTAGCATGTGTGAGACCCTGTGTTCAGTCCTTAAAACTGTGCAAAAAAGGAAGGAAAAAAAAGTGACTTGAGCATCCAATTGGAGAGAAGCGTATAAACAACACTCCCCAAGGACTTTATAAGAGCCAGAGTTTGTAATCAAGCCATTAACAATCTACTCCCACACTTCTTTGAGAATATGAAGAACTTCCCCTCAAGCTGTAAAGCTGAGCACTGTTTGCCAAGCACACTTCCTCAAAGTTAGCTTCCTTAGGGAGATAGCAGCAAAGACTATCGCAATCCATAAACAGCAGAGGCAGCAGGTGCTTTCAATGTCAAGGAGGTTTTCTTGGCTGTAGGACTTCTCAGTTAACTAATCATCCACCTCTCCTGAGAGGACAGTCTGAGCAGCATTCCCCATAAGCATCTGACTCCTAGCACACTGAAACGTCCCCAGAGAGACAAATGGAATAGTCCATGTTATACATGAGCAGGGCTGGCATTTGACACTGTACATTGCAGCTGGCAGTGATTCCAACCACCCATCCCATGTTACATGTCAGGGAAACAAGCACAATTTCCCTTTTATTTTTGTAATAATCTACTCTTAATAATACAACATAGTTTATTCCTTTCTCATGATTTACAATGAAATGAGCAGCCTAGTATTGTACTGCACAGCTGTAGTCTCTGCTTTCAGGAGGTTTAACACCATTGGGCCTGGTGATAGAGTGCTTCTCAGGTCAGTCTATCAGCTTATCAGACCCTGTCTCTTAAACCAAAACATAATTAAAAGCAAACAAGAAGAAAAAAATACACTCTTAAGTTAAATGGGCCCTCAGTAAGTAAAGTGGTAGTGGTCTGAAGACTGGGCAGCTGAGGCATCCTTGTGGTCCATTCCTGAGTCTGAATCAACAAGAAGCACTCACAGCACCAGAGCCTGCATAAGACTAATGATCCCTGGCAGAGCTTCCAGGCCTCACAAACATCCCATCATTGCCAATTTCATAGCACACACCTTTCTTCTCAACTGTCAACCAAGAAAATAATAGTTGTAAACATGAGTTTGTCTAATAGTATTTTCTGGAAAATCAAAACAAACTCCTACATGGCTTCCCCAAACTGTGAAATTTTATGAAAACAAATTCAGAAGCTGACCTCTTCTGAGTGAAATGACTGTGCTAGGTTAATGACATATTGGCATCCCTTAATCCCATTGCTGAGAAAAACTTCAAACTGGGTGAGATTGTGTTGATTATACCTATGAAATTCCTGTCATGGCTTAGCAGAGTAAACAATTCGAATAAAATGAACTATGATAGTTTTGCTAATTTCTGTAAGAAAGAAATAAAAAATAAAAAACAAACCTCTTTCTGTTCAGTTTAAGTTTCTGAAAGAAACAGGGTCTCAAAAGACTAGTCAAATTCAGGGTGGTCCTCCCTCTCCCCACAGACTTGGCTGGTGTCGGAGGCTTCTCCATCTCAATGCATTTCATCTACAGGCTGGGTCTGCCTCTCCCGGAGCAGAGCCACAGGCAGAGTATATTCACTGAAGGGACACAGAGTACCAGCAGCTTTGTTGCTGTCTTCTGCTGCCCCTGGCTGCTGAGCTCAAAGCTCAAGACTTTGGTAAAGGGTTACCCAGGAGTGATAAATCTTGCTTAGGAGACTTTGAAAAAAATCTCCTTCTAGCTAATTGTGGTAGCACACACCTTTAATCCCAACACTAGGGGGAGGCAGAGGCAGGCAAACCTCTGTGAGTTTAAGGCCAGCCTGATCTACATAGTGAGTTCTACAGCAGCCAGGGCTACAGAGTGAGACCCTGTCTCAAAAACAAAGAAACAAAAACCTCTCTCCAGTTGCTGGTCAGTTCTAGTTCAACATAGAATATCCTGTTTCCCAGAATTATACTGTTTATTTGTCTCTGCTCTGTACTATTCCTTCTGGAAGCCTAATTTATGGCTAAAAATGAATTAAAAATTTTTAAACAGTTAAGTGTACAACTGATTGAGAGAATAAGCATCATGACGAAGTAAGGTCATTCAAAACCGTACGAGCCAGAGAGGCGCCAGGTCTAGGAGGACACAACCACAAAGTTGTTAAACCCAATGGGGGAGCACAGCTCTATGTTCATTGACCAAATTTTGCTACCTCAGCCACTGTCTGCTCTCTGGACTCTGGGTCTTCCTTAACAAATCAAGGAGATCTTTTCCACTGTGAGGCAGAGCCCACAGCCCTCCCACAAGCCCTGCTCTTACCTCCTGGCCTGTAGACAACATCATCCTCGGTGATGTAAGATGTTATCTCACCAGTGTCTGTCCTCTCATACCGGGACTTCTTTTTAGGTGGCTTCTTTTTGTTCTTCTTTGTGGACTCCTCTGTGGTGGCACTATTGTTATCATTGTCTTCATCCTCACTGTGATCACTCTCAGCATAATTTTTGGCTCCTCCTTCCAAAGTACAGCTCCTGCGAGGTCTGGCATTCTCACTCTCTCTTGCTTTGTCTCTTTTATCTCTCTCTCGGTCCCGGTCCCGGTCCCGGTCCTTTTCTTTATCTTTGTCTTTATCTTTGTCAGCTGTCATGATTCGCCACGTGCCTTCTTCTGTCCTCTCACGGCTAGGCCTCCGTGAAAGGTAGACAGTAAGCCTGGGCTTCAGTCTTCTGAATTTATCACTCAATTCCAGGGAAAATCCAACCACTCCAACAACCCCAACGTTTCAAAAATGCTAGGAGAAACAAAAAAAGAAAAAGAAAAGAAAAAGGAAGAGTGTTAAATTGGGTTTTCTTTCCTGCCTAAATGTTTCCTCTTACTTCTTTCCTAAAATAACATTCTACCTTTCAAAAACAGATAGAGAGAAGGCTCAGCAGTTAGGAACACTGGCTGCTTTTCCACAGGACCAGTGCTTGGTTCCCAGTTGCCAGCGCCCACATAACAGCTTACAACTGCCTGTAACTCCAGTTTCAGGGCATCCAATGGTCCCTTCTGGTCTCCAAAGGCACTGAATGCATGTGGTGTATATACACAGATAACAGAAAACACTGATACACCTAAAACAAACACATCAAGCCTTTCCTCATGTATTTATTTACTTTTATGTGTACATGTGTACTTGCATGAAGGAACCCACAGAGATCAGAAGAGAATATTGAGGCCCCTGGAGCTAGAGTTATAGGGAGTGATGAGCTGCCATTAAATCTTTTTTTTTTTAAACCACTATTCATGCTTCCAATATAAAAATATCTCACAGGCCGCAAGACCAGTGATACACAATTTCATACAAACCTGAGCCTTGCCAGTTCACTGTGTGGAGTTTACTATCTAAAAATAAGGACTGCTGATTGGTGAGTGTATATTAAACTTCCTATACATTCGCTGTTTTCACCTTTTTTAAGGAAAAGGGAAAAGTATGGCCCAATGAGCATCATATAATGGGAGCAATTGTACAAAATTAACTTCAACCCTGTAAATTTAAAAGGAATTAAGTTCCATGTGAAAAAGCAATTTGCAAAGCTATGGGAAATGTGGCATGAGTCACTCCATGCACTGCCTTCTGAAGACTGCCTCCATCTCCAAATTTCCAAAGGGCCTTTTAAAGAACAAAACAGTATCTGATTGACAATTTCAAATGAAAAGCCTTTAATTAGCTTACTTATAACTCACACATCTTCTCAGTCAACCATTCTAGCATTTCATAACAAAACTAACAACTTCCATTCTCCAGTTTTAAGGACTACTACTCTTCCAAACTCCCACTATTAAACAGCCTCCTTAATGAACTTCTCCACAACTAACCAAACCCCCTCACCCCAAAGCCTTAAGGTGGAAGAGTCTACAATGAAAAGAATGAATCTTAAAAAAACCCAGCATAATTCCTAGAACTTTTCTACCAAGGAAAAGAGGTTTTACAAGCCAGTTTCTGAAATCCTAATAACTATTGATTTATTGCCCATAATCATCGGCCATCTTCCCCAAAATCTCATCTCATTTGAGAAACAAGTGTTACTAAATTCTGTCTAGGTTCTAGGTGTTTGTGTCTAAAAATGAGGAGAGTGCTCAGATCCCTGCCCTCCATGCCAAGTTGCAACACAAGGAGGCAAGTGATCAGACTAAGAACCATCTGCTTTGCTATCGGGGACAGATAGGAAACAAATGCAAACAAACAAAAGATTGGTCCTGTTTACTCAGCCAATAACAGATAAAACAGTTTGCAATTATGTGCTTCAAGTGCAGAGAAAATTTTCTCTCTGCAAGTCTGATAAACCAGAAAAGCCCTCTCCATCAGCACATCAGATATCCTCAGGAATTAATTCAGGAAAATAGAAATGTTAACTGTCTCCGAGAGGTGACTGAAGAAAGAGCAACAGTGCCGGCCACCTAAATACAGAAGGCTCAAAGTGACACAAACCTCGATCATTTCTTTCCATGTAGGAAATGTTCCCAGACAGAAGTTTAATTTTAAGCATATTTCAAGAGAGGAAAAGTATTCTAGTGCTCATAAAAGCAAGCCAATAATACAAGAAAAAGGCCTGGCCCTGGATGAGGGCTCAGCTCTCCTAGAAGGGCAGAATGTAATCACCAGCACTCATGTGGCAGCTAACAACTGTCTACAAGCCCAGTTCCAAGGGAATCTAAGGCCATCTTCTGGCCTCTGGGAGCACTGCAGACATGTGGCACAGACACACATGCAGGCAAAACACACACAAGTACAAAATAATAAAGTAAAACAAAATAAAAAAGGAAGCAGCATATCAACTAAACACAGCAGCCAAAGCATTCCTCTAATGTTGAACTCATTCATCCGAGGTCTACTCCACACCCATCAAGAAGGTCTTAGGCTGGTTTCTGCCTTGGTTGGTTCAATAACTGTTCCAGGGGCCTAGAAAGATAGATGCCCAAAGGTTAGGAATGCTCACTGCTCTTGAGAAGACCAGAGGTCAGTTCCCAGCACCTACATCAGGTGACTTACAACCACCCATAACCTCAGCTCCAGGGCATTTGATAACTTCTTCTGGTGTATTGGGTAACTGCAGTACTATGTGCATAGTACCACTTGCTAAACAACATGGGGAGCTGAGTTCAAATCCTCATAATCTATATATAAATGGCCAGTTGTAGCTATAAACACTGTAACCTCCATGTGAGAGAAGGCTGACTGAGGATTGCTGGGGCTTTCTGGCTCCCAGGCTAGCTTCAGGCTCAGTGAGAGATCCACCTCAAAAGAATTAGGTTAAAGGTGATAAAAGCAAGACACCCAATGTCCAACTCCAGCTTATGCACATACACGTGAGTGCATGTATACCTACACAAACACACACACACACACACACACACACACACACACACACACACACACACGCCTTTCTGGTGCAAAAAGAATTCTGCATTCTGAGAAAATTATCTCACAGAGGAAGAGGCTTGGTCTCCTTTCCCAGCTGACAGCTACAGTGTTTTAAAAAGAATGTATCAACTCCAGGGTAACGCTGTAGCAAGAGTGTGAATGACGGGATAGGGTTGAACAGGAAAAGAGTAACACAGGAAGAAGCCATCCTCCATAAAGTATGAAAAACTTAAGTCACAAAAAGAACTAAAGTTAATTACATAATTAAGTAAATTTTCAAAAATATTCTCTTGAATTATGTAAGACCTACTTATTTAAGAAAGCCTGCCCTTTCTGAGTTTTTCATCCTTTAACCATCTCAGTTGCTCACACCAGACTCCAAAAGACAGCAAATGCATGCAGGGAACCTGGTTAATTACTCTTCATTCAGCCACAACAAAAACTACCCTTATTTTTCATATGTTCAACCACACAAAAGGCATTCTCAGCATTTGCAGTTTATCAAACACACCCTGTATTATCTCTGTAACTTACTCACTGCTCTGTCACCTGCTCTCACTAACCATTCTCTCTGAAATTAAAAAAAAAAAAAAAAAAAAAAAAAGGCTGGAGAGATGGCTCAGAGGTTAAGAGCACTGGCTGCACTTCCAGAGGTCCTGAGTTCAATTCCCAGCAACCACATGGAGGCTCATAACCACCTATATAAGATCTGGTGCCCTCTTCTGGCCTGCAGATGTACATGCAAACAAAACACTGTGTGCACAATAAATAAAATGTTTATTTAAAAACAAAACAAAACAAAACAAAAAAACAGCATTTTTGGTGGTGAAGTGGGGGTGGCCTTTCAACTTCCCATCCACTGCAGCCAGTCAGTGTATTCCACAGTCCACCATAGGATGGTGCAACAGAGATGCAATGCACCTGATTTTTTAATAATTTATTTTATCACTTTAATTGTACATACATATCTTTGTATGGGTATGAGCACGTATGTGCTCGGGTCCTCTGAAAGAGCAGTAAATGCTCTTACGTGCTGAGCCATCTTCTCAGTCCCACAACTGACCATCTAATGTGTACAATCCCATTTGTACCACTCCCTTTCAAAGGTTACAAAGGCAGCATGTCCTGACTACTCCCGTTCTCCAGACTCATCTCTCCTTCTACTCCCACCTCCACCCTCATTGTGAGGCTCTACCAACCTCAAAACACTTCCCCAGTCCCTGGAAGCCTCTTGACTATGAATATTCTTCCCCTCCCACAGCCTAACTTCTATTTACCCAGTTATGGGCACTAATGCTCTCCAAATCCAGGATCCTCCAAGGCTTATTCAGTCCAGCCTCTCACACTGAACCATCCTGCCTATGAAACAGCTTCCAGAGATCTCATTACTGTTCCTGATCATTAACTTGTATCCTTTCCCCCAGTAACTGCAAAGTACGTGAAGATGAGGACCATGTCCACAAGGACATATGCCGTAAGACAAGTCCCACTACAGGGCTGCTCACATTCTCAAATGCACAGAAGTTTCCTCCTTGTTTCCCTTTAACCCTTTCTTTAACACCTGCTGAAGGGGTATCATCAATGCCTTCTGGGAAGTCGAGTCTCTCTTCCCTTAGATTCCTAGCCTGGTTCTATCCTGGACAGAATTGCCCTTCTAGCTCCTGTTCTGAGTCGAACACAGGTTCTGGCAAGGTACTGCCTACAGCCCTCTTTGTATATGCATCAGCAGTTAATTTAATGTAGGCGCACAAGCCCCAGAAACCACACATACTCAGGGGATCCACAAAGTCTCCCCAAGTGTGCCCAGTTGTTCCTTCCACTGCTCACCAAGCAGAAAACCATCTCCTCTCAGTCTCTCCTAAACACTAAGCAAGCATGCTGTCCTATGACCTTTGCCCATGCCAACTGTTAATGCAAGCTGATGTCTTTAATGTCTCTTATCTTTCATCCTTAAATCCTATCATCAATAAATCCTGTCACTGCAACTCATAAATTTTTTGCATCTATTTCTGAAGACCTCCCACACCAAACTTTCATTTAAGCAACTAGCATGGCTTTCCTGGTTGGTTTTTTACATCCAGCCCTTCATACCCCAATATTATTCTTTTCCATACTGTAGCCAGGTCTCTTTTCCAAAGAGCTAATACCATCCTGTTAACCTTCAATACTTCAGTGACTCCCCAGTTTAAAAAGTACACCATAGTTCTAACACACTTGGAGGTCTCTTCCTAACCTCATCCTACACCTCTCCTGCATGCTCTGACACCCACATTTGGGCCTGAGAACACAGCCCTGCCTCCATATGCTATCACATATATCCCAACTTTGCCTCCTCTGCACACTCTTCCTTCTGTTGCTCTTCCTTCTTCTGCTCCTCTCCTGCCCTT